ATCTCCAATTCCTCACACAAAGTGCTTGGGTCATTCGTTCCGGGTTGTCACTCACTTTGTTGGGCAGTTCGGTCCATATGTCCCTTCCAATTGGTACCCATTCAGTTTGTTTCAGTCTTGTACGAGTTTATCATCACACGTGAACCCTTAATGAGATGCTGAGGGGCCATGTGAACACCTCTTGTAGCAACGTTGTGATTTCCAAATCACTAGCCAATGTCGTGTCATTTGTCCACGATGCTGATCCTGCTCCAACATCCTGCTCCAGCTCATCCATGCTTCTCATTCGGGCGATAGATGATATGCGGGTGCGTGCGTACATGTCTGGTATGATTAGCATATTTTGTTCTGCAGTTCAGTCCAAAGGCCTCTATCGTTGCACAATCGATGCTTTCGATCTTTGCTGGAATGGAGTCTGAGTCTCAAGATGACCGAAACAAGTCTGCGTACCCAAAGAATCCTTGGACCCCTTGGACCCTCCATGGAAGGGATTAGACCCCACCTTTTCGCAGGGGTGACCCGAACCAAACCCTTCCTATTGCTTCGGGCCAGGATTCTTAGGGCAAGAGCCGACTTCTCCTGCGGCCTTCGACGTGTAGACATGAGGAAGAGGTTTGGGCCCGGATTCAACGTGAATCCATGTGTGTTGGAAACTGAACATAATGTCTTTTCCCCTTCAGAAGCGCGATGTTTTTGGACCTCCTTTCGGTGGCTTTGGGCGTGTTGGGCACCTTGAACAAGCCTTGGGCACCCAGCCAGCCAGGCACGCCGGAAGAATGTGAGGTGCGGGGGAGAAGCCGTGAGAGCAGAAGCTGTCGTCGTTCTGACCTCTCTTCGGGTGCTCAGACAGACGTGCTTCCATCGAGCAGTGGGCACCCGTAACGACGCCTCTAGCAGTTCGCTGAAAGCCTGGAGGACCGGGAGACACGCCCAACACTCCACTGCCTTGGGGCTCAGAACTTACCTCCTCAAGTTCGGTATGACTGGACCCGGAGATGGCACCCACCCCAGTCCTACCTGATGAGGTACTTGGAGCCCATCCGGTCTGGATGTGTCAAGAGACTCAAAGCCCAGCTTGGAAGTCCGTGAACCTTCGGCCATCACCTGGAGTCGGGCCGACCAGACACGTTTTTTAAGGAAGGAGACGAAGGACACGTGAAACGTGCTGAGGGAGGGCATTGGTGCCAGCAACCACGTGAAACGTCCTGTTGTGGAAGATTGTGTGCCAATATGATAATATGAGCTTTCGCCCGCAACATTCTTGGAAGTTACACTCTAGGGTGCTAACGAGGCAACTCAAACACTGGGACAACTGTCACGTTGGACTCAAATCTTAAGGTCTCGGGGGACTGCCAAGAAATATCATGCATTTATGTGTGTATATTATTTTTGCTTTACATGAACTGTAATGTAGGTGGTTTGCGCTATTTCCACGCTTCAAAGCACCAAAGCACCGGTTTGGTCAGTCTCTCAAACAGCATGTTTTGATTTCTCGAGCCCGAAAGCATGGCGCTTGCCTCCGGAAGAGATCCTATGAATAGGTGATGAGCTACTCACCTATGTTTTTCTCCTATGAAAGAACTTGTGGTCACACAAGTGCCCCTCGCAACTTGTCTTGCTGGGACCAAAGTTCTGTGATGCTCTGCTTGCAGGGTGTAACATACGGGTATTGGACTTTGCTATGCCGCTTTAGGCCCCACCCAACTGATGCGGATATTGCGGGGGCTACATGCAGACTTGGCAGGGGTCTACTGTGAACGCTGGCAGCCCTTGCAGACTTGCTTTCTTACTTGTGCTAGCATCAAGCAGGCTGGGCGTTGCTGTAAGCCGACCGGAAGACACGGTGCCTCACAACAGCAAGCGGCCTAACCAGTGTCAGTGTATAGCGACTACTCCATCTGATATGGTGCGAATGTTATGGCTTTTTGATTCCCAACCAGTGAGAAGTATGCCGCTGTGTCGAATATGTTTTGGTAGGTGGAAAGTGACAGTGTTTTTCAGCCTGCGTACCATGTAAGTATTCAGTTAAAGTTAAGGTAGTGGCAACTTGTTTTTTCATTGTTTCATCCCTACCCCCTTACCCATGGAGTTGAGGGGGGACGTCACAAATGTAACTTACATTTTCTGGGGTCCTGCTGGGGGTCTTTCTTATTGTAAGTTACCCCCGCTTGACGTCCTTTGGAAGGGGGGGTGCTCAAAAATGTAACTTAGAACGTGGGAGACCTTTACATACACTTATCAACCCCCCCAAACCACTCACATTGGGGGGGTGGATAAATGTAACTTACTGCTTTAAAGGGGGGTGAAAAATGTAACTTACTGCCTCCGACGTGTGTAGTTACATTTTCAACCCCCCCTCCGAGTTTTCCTGGTGCAGAAAAAAACTGTTGATTCTGCTTTGACATGTTGAGAAATGCCATACTATTCAATGAAACCTCAAAAATAATTTACATTTTTGAATAAATGTAAATCACATTTTTCTGGCCTACTGGATGTCTGACCAATTCAGAAACCTCACAATTGTAAGTTACAATTTGTCAGGTAAATTAGTATTTGTAAGTTACATTATTTTGAGGTGTCAAACCTAGGAAATTGTAACTTACAATTAGGTCACGCCCCCCTTAGGTAATCGGTAGGGACATTGTTTCTATGTCTTGTCCGAGATTGGTGCACTGCGCTAGCCTGCGTTTAAACTCTTCCAATACAACCTTCGTACAAACACTTTGCTCAACCACGGTTCGATGGCAAACGCAGCTGGGTTTCTGGCAAACGCAGCTGGTGGTTTCGTCCCGGTGCCGCAAGTCCTGCTGTTGTTCCAGCTCACAGGCGGGTGAGCGAGCCAGAATCCAGCATCGCCCACGGAAAGCCACTCAAGGTCGAGCCGGAGGACGGGGGGGTGAGGGAGGTGTTCGTCCTCTCCAGGTGTGTGGGGGGGGGGGGGTGATGGTCGATGGGTTTCGTTTGATCGATTCCAATGGGCCTCTCGGACCCCCGGGGTCGTCTCGGACACCGGGGTCGTCGAGCGTCTCGGTCCGAAGATGATGCTGGCCGTAAGCGCCGTAACCAGCAGAATGGCTGAAGGAAGGAGCGCAGAATGGCTCATGACACAGGATGATGTCATCAAGGCCGGCCAATGTAGACTCTTGAACAATAAAACACCCCCAGACATGACTGAAATATAACTTCTTCAGGCTTGCGGGGTGAAATACAATCAAGAGTCTACATGATTGGAGTTCCATGTGAGCGTAGCAGAAAGCTCAAAGCTGACAGATGTGAGCCAAAAGGGAGGAGCGCAACGACTGCAACGACTGGAAGAAGACTGACAGGTTGAGGAGGAACAAGGGCCCAGGACTGGGCTTACCTACCACTAAGAAGCAGCGAATCCGGAATGATGAGGATATCATCAAACAATCTCAGCCCTGAACAGAGGGTACAGTGGGTTTAGAGTAGATGGCACAAGTTACCCCGAGTTTGGTGGTTTATATGGAACCCCATCTAAAGGACATCTTGGGGTGCCAGTGCCATCGGACCTCAGAAACCACTGTACAAGTCCTTACAAGCAGTTCTTCCCAACGACCCGGTGTGCTCCGAACAAGAACGACCTGCCTCGCTCCGCGGCCCAAACGCCGGACCGGACTCTCCGATGGGCCGTGTGGTTGACACGACCCATGTGGTGGAGACCAACACAGAGGCAGCTGGCGGCTTACACGCGCCCCCTTCGCGTGTGTGTCCTGTTTTGACTCCCAGGTTCGTGAGCTCCAAAGCTCCCAGATGAGGCCAACCACTCCGGGTCCGATCATTATTGTTCTTGTTTGTTGAAAAGAGCTTTCTGCACAGAAGGGCAGAAGAAACATGAGGAAACTGAACTCCTTGGCTTTAGCGCGAGCGACAAGAGCAAAGAATCTATTTTGAGGTTGTCCACACGTGACATTTGAACAATCACATTGTTAAAAGCGATAGTTACTTTGAGATGCCTTGAGATTCGTCCTTAGAACTCCCAAGTTCCTTGAATTCTTCTTCAAAGGGTTCATCGTTCTGTTGAAGAGGTTGCCTCAGTACGCTCGTGCAAGATTCGATTCTCATGGAAACCCTTCGATTTCATGGCAGCTTGGAGGTGGTCAAATCCTTCGAGCATGAGATGTTCGGTTGGACCGGTGACGCAACGCGAACGTTAACCTCTGTGTCTTCCGCGTCCGGCGGAGACCACCCAGTTGCCCAGTGTTCGCGGACATCAGGGTGGTCCGGTCGGTCTTCCCCTCCTGGGGTAAAGGTGTTTCCTTCCTTTTTCCATTTGGGACACCTGCTTTTTGTCTCAAAATGTGTTCAGGATGTTGAGGCACTGCCCTGGCTACTTTTGATGGCTACCATTTTTTGACTTTGTCACTTTGTGGTCTACGTTCTTCATTGGTGTTTGAACAACCTGAGTCCGGATGCTTGCTTACAGGTCCTCGTACACAGATCAGGTCTAGAGTAGCAGGATGGTAGTTCGGTAAACGTCGTGGACCTTGGCGTGTTCGTGCGGCACCATGGTCGGAGGCAATCGCTCTTAGGTTGGAGACCATTGCCAGTAGGTTGGAGGCCATCTCTAGTAGGGTGGAGGCCATTGCTATTTGGTTCCTGTTGCTATTAGGTTGGAGGCCATTGTTTCCGGCGGACTCCTTGCAGGATGGGCCTAAAGGGCCTAAAGAGGAGCACGAGGCCGAGGCGGAGTCAGAGTCCAATCTGGGTGTGACCGCGTGTTCTTTTTCTTTCGGTGACACCAAAAGTGGAGCACCAAGCTGTATCATTTGTATAATATGAAGTATATGGTGTTGTTGGTTATTTCCAGTTTGTGTTTGTTTTGGGTCGACGGATGATCAAAACATCATGCTTCTGCTTGCTGGAACCGAAGTCAGTCGTCCGGGCCCACTGGTCCCGATCGATTCCGACCGATGGAGCCGGGTATGAGGCCATCACTGGAAGAAGACCTTATGTACAAGGCATCATCTGTGGTTTTGGTGTCCAGGACCAAAGTGTTCCGAAAGCTCTTCATCGCCGAAAGCCGCACGAGTTTGAACCTCTTCAGCCAGCTGAACTCAGACCTCTCCCAATCCTCGTTTCTCGTTTGGACAACGGTGCATCCGTGCGGTTCGCTTCGGAACGAGGTTGCAAGACTCGGCAGCTCCACGTCCCAGGAGCCCCAGGAGAGCGTGGTGCTGGCGCGGGTGCGGCAGCAACTGATGGAAACCGAGGCGCAGCAACTGATGGAAACCGCGGATCATACATGGAACACGTGTCACTTTAGAAGCCTTAACTCTCTCAAGAGAGGTTGCAGGGCTCTAAAGTTACAGGGTCCTAGTTCTGGTCTCTCAACCTCTCTTTCTGCTCAGGCTGCCTTAGCTGCCTTGGAGCAGGAGGGCCTTCAGGAGCCGAATGAGCCAGTGGAAGCGCGGGCTTTCGCAGAGGCCGAGTGGTGCGACGGATGAGGCCGATGCGGTCGGACCTGGCACGAAGCTGGACCACAAATGACCCGACTTTTCTGCTTGCAGCCCCCACGAGGTTTAGATACAGCAAAAAATCACAAAATTCGGCGGTTTTGGGCCCCTGCAAAGGGAGGATCTGGGCAAGTACCGGCCCAGCAGCGAAATATTTTTGGGGGAGAGACCTGGGAAGGTGATGACCGTTAAATCACAGCAGATGAAGTTGTATGGCTGCGGCTAACTGTAGTAATTTCAATGTTTTTTTTGTTTCAGTTTCTACTCCAGTCTGCTTACCCTTTGTTTCGCATGGATGGCCCAGGGAAAGAAGGAGATGCCTGACGATGAGGACTTGCAAAGCAGAAGTGAGAGTTGAGTCAACTTACGGTTGACATCAACATCATGGGCAACTTCCTGTGGCTCACAAGCAGCAATAGTTGACCAGTCTCATTCGGATTTGGGTTCGATTTGGGCCACCCTGTCAAGACTCGATGACGCTCTGTGCCTTTATATAGAGGTGTTGGGTGCTCCAGAATACAGTATATATACCTAGAACCCATGTGACCTCTGTTTTGATAGGAAAAGACCATGTTTTGGCTCCAAAACAGGGTCAATCAGGTTCTTGGTATATATACAGTAAATATGACACCATCTTTCACAGGAACCACCATTGGATGGCAGACCAGAACCTGAAACCAGATGGCTGATGTTGTTTTTGAGGTGGCTGACCAGGTCCGGTCCTCCCTCCTCCAAATAAACGCCAGTGCGCGCCATGGACCCCCAAAACCATCGGTGTTGTGTTGTCAGGGTCCTTTTCGGATCGTTTGCCGGGTAGGAACAAAGAGCATCGGGCCCGAGCAAGAAGCTACGAACTGTGCGCTCCTGGCCATACTATGCCATACTACTAGTAACAATGGGATGTAAGTAGGTGAGATTGTACGAAGGCCACGTCCAGTGAGTCTGTCTTGGAGACTGGTCGACGCGGAGTCGGTGGTCTCTTGAAGCATCGTGGCCAGCCGGATGGCCACTTGAGAGTTGCTGGTCTTCAATCACGAGTACACACCATACATAGTGACTAGCGGAATGCGTCAGAATGACTTGGTTTGGAATGGAATGCCTCTTAGTTCCATTCGCCACATAACTTACACTGCAACGTGATTCGACATGTCGTGGAATACCTCACCTCTAGTCAGTTGATGTTTAACGATCCCAAACGAAATTTTGGTGTTTTGCTACCCAACTCTTCTTGGTCTGCACAGTCATCCTGCAGAAGGTGGAGAGGTGGAGAACGTCTTTGAACATCGGTAAGGCCTCTCAGCCATGTGGCCCATCTCTAATGACATCTTTTGACACATCTCTAACCAGTTTCAGTCATGTCCGGTCATGTCATGCTTCACCGGCTGGGATTTAGCATGTTTTAGCAGCTCCACTTCAGCCGTTAGAAGAGACACTTGGCAGGCTCCATGGCCTCTGTTTCACATGTCAGGTGGACGCTTCTCCTCGGGGTGCGTTGAGATCGAAGGGTTGGCCGCACATGCCGACATATCTATTCCATTCGGGATGTGTCGGCATGTCGACACATTTTTGGATGGTCGGATGACCTGAAATCATCACGAACTGCATACCTGAGAGAGATCCAGGTGTTCGAAGTCCCATGCCCTTCTCCTGGGCCCATCCCTTCTCCACTCCTCCCAGCTCTTCTCCAGGAGGAGCCATGGGAGAGGTGGGACGAGATGCCCATTCCGGAGGCGATTTGTCTCGTGCCGCGGTTCCGCCGGGTGGAGGGGCCTCTGTCCGCGCGCGGGTCCCCGCGCCCGCGCGGCGCTGGACGGGTTTCGGGTGGCCGCCGGGTCGGTCCGCGGCGTCTGTGATTGATGCGCCCCTGGAGGAGAAGAACCACCTTGTGACACCGAGAAAGCAATGAACGCAACGTCCCAAACGGCCTCCCAAACTGCCTTATGCCATGGAAGTGGTCATGTGTGAGCCGTACATCAACGAAGCGCGATGATAGTCTCGCACCACTGATGAAGCTACTAGATGTGCCGATAACACGGGTGGACTTACGTACCAGAAAAACACCTAGATTTCAGGGGCTTTTATGACTGACGTTCCACCCCACTCCATATGGCACCGTTATCAAAGGCACATCCACATACTACACAAGGCTGATTGCAGGTAGGCGTGGTGAGTGGGGGCTTTGGGCTGTCATGAAAGACAGTTGGACCATCTGACTGGTTGGAATCGAGATTGCCTAAAGAAGAGATGGGTCTGGGTGGCAGGACAAAAAGCCAGGATGCTGTCTGTATTTGAATTTGGCAGGAACCCTTTAAACACAACAGCAGCAAATCTAAGTTCAACTTGCAACCACAACTACAACTATATACCTATATAACTATAACTGCTACAAGTACTACGACGACTACTACTACGACTACTGCCAGGACGCATGGTACCAGCACTACCACTGCTACACCACGGTGTTTCTATTCGACTCCCACCGCCGTTGCCATTTTTGGACTGCATCTCCAGGCTGCTGAGATGGATGATCGGCCCAAGGTCAGGGTCGGGTGGGGGTGAACTTCTAAACTTCCTACAGAGATACGGAATTTCTCACTTTTCTCAACGTCCAAGTCATGTCTCTTAGGTCACTTTGCCCTAACTTCCGAAGCGACCAGGTTCATAGGATCGATCGATTCACACATATACGATGCCATTCAGCCAGCTGCGTGGGCGAGATCCACCTGCTGCGTTGGGGGAGATGACCCACATTTGGTGAAGACATGTTTGATCCTGAGGCCTATCAATCAAAACCTGCCCAACCCGAAAGTTGAAGTCCATTCGGAATCGGTTCATTGATTTGGGGTCTTACCCAGACGTGTTGAAGTTTTTGCACCATGGCACACATGTATAGGACTCATATGCATGAAGATGTCCCAAGAATTCCAATCAACCATCTTCATCCACTGGGTCCATACACCAGCTGCCTGGCGTAGAGACGCCCTTGGGCGATTTCACTGACCAAATCCATCCGGTACACTCACTCGCTCCCACATCACATGGAAGTGGAGTTCACCCCTATTTTCTCTCAACTAAAACACCTACCCTCCTTGAAATATGCATGAAAGTGGAAAACCACCTGTTCATAGAGGATTGCATGGCCATTCAAGGGACTGGCTGCCATCCAGTTTCCAGGTTAGCGAGTCACAGTGACCCTGCCGAGGACAATTTCTTTGCGGACTTCCCGTTGAACTTAAAACAAACAAAAATAGTCAAACTTCTACGCAAAAATATGGATCTCGGATCGGCAACATGCCGACATGATGTCGACCATGTCTATTCCTGAACAAACAGGTGTGCGGGGTGATCAGGGTAGAGGCAACACTTCCCAAAGACCTACAGCCTACAGCTGTATAGTTTGACCTTGCAGAACTTCCCAGACGCTTCCAGCCCAGAGGCTTCCTCAAAACTCCACACATGCTTTTTTCGGATGACCAGTCTCCTCAAGCAGAAACCCTGCCTTCTCCGGCCTGCCGCTCGTCGGACCCGACCCCCAGCCCGAGACGCCAGGTGCCCAGCCCCAAGGTGCGTTGGCCCAAGGAGCCCGGGCAGGCGGAGTGGTTTCTTCCGGTGGCGGCGCCCCACCTCTTTCAGGGGACGAAAGATGGATGGATGGGGAAACAATAGAGAACGTTTTTTGATTGGTTTTTCTGGACCAGCTTGGAAGGACGTTCTCTTTTTGGGGTTTCAGGAATGGCGTTTTGTGGTCCTTAGCAAATCACCAACGGAAGGAGACCATCGCCCAAGTTGCCGCCCAAGCGATAGCCCTGCGAGAAAGAACGGGTTTCGAAGTTTCAACCCTCTAAAGCAACTTCTATAGGGTTAGGACTCTTTTTGAGAGAGCTTATTTTCGTGGTTGCACCGAAACTGGGTCCAACATTGGAGAAGACATCATGCGCATCTCCAAGCATGTTTGGCCAGCCGTGTTCTTGACGGAAGCTTTGATGTGGACTGCGTATTTGTGGGACACCAAGGTTCTTACCCATGCATTCTCATGTCGGAAGCGAACATAATATGGTTTGATTTTTTCAGGAGACCCTCAAGGCATCATCTTCATCCATTCATGCATGGATGTTTTTCCTCTGGGGCTGTGTGAGCCCAAAATTTTTGTTCATAGGCCTCAAAAAAAGTGATGGCCTCCAACCTTATAGCACTCCAACCTAATAGTGATGGCCTCCAACCTATACCGATGGCCTCCAACGCCATGTTTGCAAAAATATTTTGATAAAGCTGAAATAGCGAAGCCTACAGGGTTGCAAGTACAAGGCGGAACCCCCAATTTTGCAGGCCTGGCCGCTGCCTGCGTCTTGTGCTGTCGGCGTCTTGTCGAAAGCCTTGCTGCGGCCTCTGCCGCTGAGCGCTAGGCCTTGAATCCCCACCATGTCGTGCGCGACGGACGCAGATGGGTGAAGAACACGGCAGTTTGACAGAACACATCGAAAGAGTAATGAATATTTTATCATGTGAAACAAGTCATTCGCACATGAGAAAACATATCATTATATACTCATCCTAGGCCTTTGATCATCCTCTCGTTATTTCTTCATGGTTCTTTGCAGATGAGTAGGTTGCCTTTTTTGGTTCGGTGGAAGACAAGTCGGCGGTATGCGTCTCGGACTTCTCCAGGCATTTGTGGGCCATAAGTGAAACCTCAACCTTTGAAAGTTCACCGAATCAATGGAGAACATATATTCGCCAGTAGTCTACAACAACTGAACATGTGAACGCGTGGATCAGCGAACGATTTCACCCTAGGACCTTAGGACATTTGTCTATAGGGCTGTCTTCAGTTCAGGTTCGTGAATCATCCTATACGCACCTTAGAGATACCAAACTGATCTCTCCAACCAACCATTCGGGATTTCTCGCACTGGTTTCCAACCCCGTGCGCCTTCCTTCGGCACGTGACAGACGACGTCTTTCACCTCACTTCCCGAGGGTACCAGAGTTCA